TACATTTTTTATTGTTTTTGGATATAAAGAAATGCCGAAGTTTTCAACAAGAAGAACTTCACAACAGATGACCTTGTTGCTTATATTCTTCATTCTCTTCATCTCTGGACGTGCCTCTCTATTAAATAAACATTAGTGAAGCTAAATTTTCTTTTGGATGATCCTCACTTTCCACTCCCCTAGAAGAGGATTGATGGAAATGAGGAGGGAGAGGCAAGCTAGTGGCTCGAGGATGGCGTATAGTAGTCCGATGATACCGAGTACTTAAGTTAGCTTCTATTATTATTATTATCATCTTGATCTCTGTAATTTGTTTGTAATTAATACCTTCTTTTGTTGCCCAGGGGCTGCAGGAGAAGTCTAATTTCTACGTGGTTTTCTATTTAGTGGATTGTCAATTAGGTTGTATTGTGCTTGTGATGAGTGGCGACTATCTACTTTCCTCACCCTCACAGAACTCTTCTTGACGTAAGGTCTTCTATAGGCTTAGAAATTTTGTTCTCCTATCGATTGCTTTGTATGTTTCGAAGTTTAATATACATTGGTGCTTTGCTTTATTTTTACCTCAAAAAATAAAGAAGCTAAATTGACAAATCGAAGGCACACACAAGACAATAGTAGACCACAACCAATGCAAAGCCAACCAATCACAGCACAAACACAAGATATACGTGGTTCGGCAATATGCCTACGTCCACGGGGCAAGGAGAGGGAAGCTTTACTATTCAAATCAAAGGGGAGTACAAGTTAGGGTTACAAATCTTACCCAAAACCCTCAAATAAGACCAAAAAGATCTCTCAAATAGACTCCAACAATAGAAGCCCTCAAATCTCCCTTTGCTCAGCTCAAAATCGCCCAAACTCTAACCCTAAAAACGAGTTAGGGTATTTATACAACTCCAAGCGAAACGGGTCTGGAAACCTGAACCAACTGAAACCCGCTTCGTCGGTCGACCGGTGGTCGACCGCGATCAATTCCGGTCGACCGACCCGGTCGACCGACCACCTCCAGCAGAACCCCGAAAGAATCCAGAGAGCCGTCGGTCGACCGGGCCGGTCGACCGACCTCCTTGTGCACGAATCCGGTCGACCGGACCGGTCGACCGCACCTGTTTTTCCTGATTCTGCTGCTGATGCTGAAATTCTTAATTCTCCACCTCGGCGAATGTTTCCACCAAAATGACCGACACCAAACCATCAATAGTTCCTCAACAGGTCCAGGAACAATACTCGAGCTGAAACGGTCGACCGGACCGGTCGACCGCCACCTGTTTTTCCTGATTCTGCTGCTGATGCTGAAATTCCTTCACTGGTCATATATAGTAGAGGCCACTAAATCCATCAGTTAAAAGAATAGGGCAAAGCATACTAAAACAATAACACATGCAATGAAGATGGGCGTGATAACAATTATTTTAAGGGAGGATATGACCCTTAGTAGAACCGAATGGAAGAATCGGAGTCATGTAGCCTACCCCAAAACTTTGGGACGAAGGCTTTGTTCTTCTTGTTATTCTTTTTGTATGTTAAAAATAAGATAAATCGACAAAAAACGATGCACGTTATCTCTAAAAATAAGAGGCAAACACCCCGTGCCCACACACAGAGGTCATTACAGTTTTGCTACTCTACAGAGAATTAGATCAAAAGGAAATAGTCTTTAACATTTTAATTCAATGGGCACGAATCAACTCGACAAGTCATAGTACTGGTGTTAATTTAGTTTTCTTCTCAATTATTTTCTACTAAGAAACATTTTATAATTTGTCATTCAGAATTTAAAGAACAATTTAATACATTTTGTAATTCATTTTGTTTATCAATTAGGTCTCCATTTTGAAGAAATTTATGCAAGCTCTATGGAATATGCAAACAATTATCAGGTAATGTGGGAGTTATATGAGTCTTACCTCCTGATGGAACTCTAGCTGCCCCTTCATGCTTTTACGATCCAACACCTTTATAGCAACTGTCGTGTGACGAAGGAAACCTATATAAACACTTCCATATCCACCTTCTCCAATCTTAAGTGAATTGCTAAAGCTGCAAGTTGCTCGATTAATCTCCTCAAAGGAAAATTCTGTGAAGTTGATTGATCCTTTTCTCCTTGTAGTGACCGCTTCTTTATTTCTCCGTAACTTCTCAAGCTCTTTGAGTGCTGCATCTCGTTGCAGGTGCAATTTCTCACAGTCACCCTGGAGCACACTGAGCAGATGTTGAGCTTCTAAGAGTTTCTCTTTAAGATCCTTAAATATGTTATCATAATCGGCAATACGGAGCTCCAATTCTAGCTTTTGCTTACTTGTCTTCTGAAGTTGTTCCAAGATTTCACTGTTCTGATTCTTAAACATTTCGACCAACAATTTTTCTGTTGCAAGTTCTTCTTCAATCTCTTTCCTTCTATTCACCTCTTTGGCATATAAATCCTCATATGTTTTTGCCTGCCAGAAAATTCTATCATCAGTGAGTTTGACTCCTTGTATGAATTTTATGATTGTCATGGAGACTTTCATGTTACTATTAAAATTTTAAACTATCTGAAACAGTTGCACCAAGCTTACATTATTTAGAAAAGGAATTGCTCCAATTGACACGAGATCTCTGTAAGTACACAAATCATAGAATCTATGTTCACGAAGTCAAAAAATGTTGTAGACTCTTACCCTCCTTAGAGCCTCGATCACATCCCTCTCTGCTTTCTGACGCTTAAGAGACTCCTTGTAAATTTGATGATTTGAGTTGTTCATTTCATCAATCGACAATAAACTCAGGTTGTTCATTTCATCAATGACTGAAAAAGGATGGCATAATGTAGCAATAAATTCTCCTCCATATGAATCAAAGCTATTGGATTTTGATCTATGCCTGGAAAGGTAATGCTCATGCACAAGATCGGCATCGGACCTCATTGACTCGGAGTGCCCTAGAGGCATTGATCTTGATATCAATAGTTCCGATTGGCTTGACAAAGAGTTCATGGTGGTTGTTGGTGGCGGTGTCCTCTCAGACATGCCTAGAAGAGCCTCCCTATAGAAATTATGAATATCAAGTATACAGAAAAAAAATTAAGGGAGTCCAAAGGAAAAGGAATGCAATAAGAAACTATTCACATTTATATAGTAAGTATGCAAGAAATATCAAATATTAAGCATTTTACTCTATCACAAGCGCAAGTAGGAAACTCGTGCTTGACAATGGCACTAGACAATCATTATCTGATCTATGAGTTGACTAGATTCAATTTTGACAGGTATTAGTGTCACCCACACACAATTAGGAGTTTAGTTTTTTCACTTCTCATTTAGACGTGCTACAAAGAAACTCCAAGAACATTTCAACAGCATATCACGTCAACAAATTAAGAAAATGTCATGGATTCACTTTGACATCAAGGCTGCAAGAGTTATATCTATTAAGAAACATGTAAAACACGGATGTAAACCAGATTTCATCAAGCTATGTGATGTCATTGATTTCTAATTACATAAAGGCATTTAATCTGTGCCAGTTTTCTTGGAAGGTCCTCTGCGTTTAACCCTGACAACAATCTTTAGTGTCCGTGTAAGTGTGATTTATGTAACTAAAATATCATAACTTCTCAATTTTTTTTTATTTGATCAAGTATAGGTTCCTTGAAGACAAGGAAGGGAAAGAAAAGAGAGAGGAAATGAATACACCAAATAGATTAGAGTTATAAGCGTGCAGGAAAAAGAAGAGATTAACTGAAAAGGGCCAGTCTGAAAAAGCCAACTTTACCTTGTGCAGATTAGGGTTCCTTTGCAAACAAACCATATGTTGCATGATGGATCAGCTTGCTTTCTCACAGTGATTGCGGTTTTCGACTTGGGAACTTTCATTCTCCTGTGAAGCAAAAACTTCAAGAATACAAATCAAACTCTAAAGACAGTACAACTCCATGACAGGACTAATATGCCTCCCTCCCTTTTAATGTTGTTTAATGCAGTTATCAATAACATCTGGGTGCTATCTAGATCGAAGGTAGCATGCAGGCAAGATTAATGATCAAGTCATGAAATTAAAAAAATTAATTCCTTATGCAGGTTCATATGGGAACAATTGTATAGCCGAATGACTTTGAAACATGAAAGTAGTATAAGGTGAGATGTCGCTATTGGTTCAGCCAGCATCTTAATTATCAAGGTTTCTCGAATTGAATTCGCACCTTGAAATTTTTAATTACGGTCAGTTATATTTTAAGAGAACAAAATCAGATTTCTGATATAAATTGAGCACAATGATGTGATATCCACACCTTGAAAATTGCTTATCTGCTGCTGCCCCCATCACAAGTTTGACTATACCATGCAGAGTTATAAGTTCTATGAGCCCTTTTGCAGCATCTTCTGCCTCAATCACTAGCTTCTCAGCTTGTACCTTAAAAGAATAAAGAAAGGTTAGTAAATTCATAGGTGAACTTAAAGCACTGTTTCTAATCTCCTTCTGGGGTTTCTCAAGCACATATAATATACTACAAAAAATAACTTTAAAAGCACGTAAGAAACTAAAAA